GGGAAAAGATGGAGGAACCTACGGCCTGGTTCGATGGGGTGAAAGACATCATGCGTTATGGTAATTTGTAGGAGTGAACATGGTTCCAAGGTTAAACCGATAAACTGGACTGGCGGGAACGTCTCAGATTAGATTTCAAGATATGCAGAATAAGTTTCAGGTTCCAAAAATTGAGGAACTTGTTTGGACGGGTAGGTTTTAGCTTCTCAGGTATGAGGAACTTGGAACCTATAACAGGTTTTTATGTTTTTCTTGGTATATATCCTCGCATGATTTTGCAGTATTTCATGACATTCGGTGATAAGTGTATAAATTAGAACCATTAGTATGAGACTTTTGCTTTGTTAATGTTTCACATCCTTCGTATATCTAAATATAAATTGCGGTCAGTGGATTGTTGTAGCAAGTGGAGGTCATTGAAGTGATGATTCACTACAATCGTTCAATTATAATACATGTGGAATCAGGGTAGGCCCTGGAATCGATCTTAGAACCCGTAACAGGGTAAATTTCAGGTTCTAAAAAATGAATAATATGTTTTAACGGGTAGATTTTAGGTTCCAGGTGGAACCTGTACGGAATCTGAAACCGCTCGCTCCTAGTAGCATGACAAGCAGAATCGCCGCGCGATATATTAAGCGACCCCTGACCGGACCGGAATGTTTTTTTCCTCAATAAGGACGTGAGGAATTGACGGTGCATGCTTGAACGCGAATCAGCATTGAAAAAGAAAAACCAGTGGCATATACCGCTTTGGCCTGTGGACCAAACGCCAACCACATTTCAACTCTCGTGCTAAAGCTTGTGGGCTCGTTTTCTTTTCTTTCTATGAATAATTTCCGAAAGAAATATATGCCCATGACCAATTTGATTATCTTTCTAGGCCTAAAATTGTTGGATATGATGATCTCGCGAATTCTGGGTCTCGCGATACAACTTGGAAAGAGACGGGAACAAAAGAGAAAGATCTTGCTTTTCTGACCTCCCGAAAAGGATTAGCTCTTTGTCAACTTGGCAAGCACCGGTAAGGTTCTTCCGCCTTCGTATCGAATTAAACCACATGGTCCACCGGTTGTACGGTCCTCCTATTCGATTCCTTTTAGTTTTCGTCTTTGCAACGAGAGAGGATGCGTTCGTATCAGGGAGAGTGGGAGGGTTCGCTGCAGATTTGGTAAATCCAGTTCGGACCATTGGTCCATGCAGGTGACCTGACCCGAAGCTCATGCGATTTTTACAAGAAGCGAATTGCGGGCTTTTCTTCTATTTGAGTGAACGAAAACAGTTCTTAGAAAAGAGTTTTTCTTAATCATAACCGAGAAAAAACGAGAGGTTGGCTAAGTAATCCGTGATATAATCAAGTCAAAAATGAGATTTTTCTCGCTTTTTAACTTTCCGAATTTTACCCTTTCATTGCTCAGTACCTTTTAAAGAAGTTCACCCGATTTAATTCTATGATTTAATTTATTCTTCTCATCAAATAACCTTTTTCAAAGGCTACTAAATTTGCGAAAGCGTCAGCAATAGAGAACTACTCACTACCTAAAAACAGACAAATTACTCAAGTTTATTTACGAAACTTGCGCAGCGCGCATCGGTTCTAGATCCCTTTAAACAAATTCACGTTAAAAATGGTAAGACTCGAAACTATTCGAAACTATTCGGGAAGCAATTCAAAAAATAATAGATTTTCTAAAACTATATAGCACCTTAGAGTGATGAAGAAGAAGTTGCAAGGTGCTATGGTCAAGAAGTGTTTATCAAGAACCTTACTTACAAAAGTTGAAACACCCTCGTTTTCACATCGGTCGTACCTCCTTTCTTCCCTTCGCTTTTGGCAAAAAGACCAAAAGAGATGAAAAGATTGGTGGCTAAGGTCAAGGCGTCATGGCAACGCATGCATCGATTTTTATCTGAAAATGGAAATCGACGGGACCCCAAAAAAACACAAAAAATCGAATTTCAATTGTATTTTCCGAAAACGGATCAGTTATTCCTTTTCTATTTCTCGTTAAAAATTAGGTTAATATCATGAAAAACCCTATATCTGTGATAAATTTATTTCGAACTAATTTTTTAACCACAAAAAATTCCAAACTAATATATCGGTGATAAATTTACCCTCCGTTAATTTCATTTAAATTTGATCATCAAATTTCTGAATTGGATGGCACATGACAGTTAACGGGTGTACCAATTTGGGGTTTTACCCTTCGTTTTTTTTTGTCAAGTGTAATAGTATATGATTTTTCGTGGTATTAATCTAATTTAACGGAGGGTAAATTTATCACAAACATACCGATTTTGGGTTTTTTGTGATAAAAAAATTAGTTTGGGGTAAATTTATCACAAGTTTTTCAATTCGGGATTTTTGGTGGTCAAAAAGTTAGTTTTGGGGAAATTTATTACGGGTATATCGGTTTAGAGTTTTTCGTAATATTAACCCATAAAAATTAAACCGTAGAGCTCTCCTCTTTTTTTTTTTTCGATAGTACCGAGTCCGAGACCAGAAACGAAGCGGGATTTACTTCACGGGCTCGAGAGACGGAGGCGGCGTGCATATAACGATCCGAGACGCATCGAGACCGGGGGCCGGTGCCCGGGCTTCTCCTTCTCTCTTTGTGAGCATATCTACGCGTTCAAGTCCACGATTCAAAAGCACTTCAGCTTCCGTGCAAAATGCAATGCTCATCGGAAAGATTCACATCCACGCAAAAAGCTCAAAGAGAAACGACGCGGGTGTTTCGCCAAGACGCCATGACCGCGCTCCAGAAACCGAGTATAACAACGCAAGTGTCCCTCAATTTCATCGAACGAAAAGAAGAGCAAATTCTCAGAAAGATGTTGCCAACAGGGAAGTGTGAAGATAGAGAAACATCGAACATAACAACGAATATGACAACGTGGTTGTCCCTCACTTTCCTCGAAATGAAAGGAAGGGGTGATGGAAGAATCAAAGTACTCCGAAGGGTCTTTTGTGCAAAATGAAGGGAAAAGATGGAGGAACCCACGACCTAACTTGCTCGGAAATATCCTCCTTCTTGATCGAGCCGAAGCGGAAATCGGGACCGACGCCGCGATGGCCCGGGAAAATATCTTCGATTCATTTTTACTAAAATTGGTTCTTCGGTTTATATTAAGAAGAGATGGGTTCCGTGGCGATTCCAAGTAGGAGTTTCAATGAATCACGAGGAACTTATCTTCGTCGAAATTTAATCGACGACGAAGTACATAGCACTTTGTCAGAATTTAATAGACGACAAAGTGCGATGATGATGATACAACGTCGAAATTTAATCGACGACGATGATATCCAGAAGTGCAACTAAGATACACGCTGGAATCTAATTGACGACGAAGTATCTCGTACTATGACTTAAGTACGAAAATTGAAAGATATTTAAATTAACGGATATTTTTTTGGTGTCACGTCTCATAGAGAACACATGGGACTCGATTTATCGATTAAATTTCAAATCCGACAAAGACGTTACTAATATTTCATCAAAATCCGATTAATCTGTCCTATGTTATGTCACGTCACGCCACGTCGTGTCATGTCAGCATTGTAATAGTCAAGTACGACATTTTGCCAGCCATTTGTTACCTCTTTTTTTTTTTGGTGCCTCAACCACGTCTTTTCTAACATAGATAGGTCAATGACTCCTTTTTTTTAGACGGTTCAACTAATGGTCATACGCACAGAAAGAAACCTATCTAATTCGCACTGAAGTCCAGGTGGCCAGCAAGCCGTGCCTCGTGGCTGCGCAAAGAGCTGAAAGGTCACCGGCATTGCAATTATGTCTCGAACTCAACTACCTAAAAAACATCCCTATGAAGAATCCGACCAAATATCATCGTTTTGAACGTGCGATGTTTCTAGTGTCGGGTGCTTCTAGATTGCCAGCAGGTACGGCATGGAGATCTCTATCCACGACGGGGTCAGATACTCCTGTGAAGCTATGTTGTACCTATCTATCCATGAAATGTCATTTGGTAGATCTAAATGCAATTAGATGGTAGAGTATACCTGACCAATTTCGAATGCCAATTGAGTTCTAATCCGGGTTTCGAAATAATTAATCAAAGCATGAGCTAGAAGAGTGCGATGAGCATGCGGCTTAATTTTTTTTTATGTTTTTTGGTGTTTGATACCATTCGAAGTCAATTACATGAAAAATTGGGACATTAGCTTGTATTCGAGAATGAAGAGTTGCCTAAGTTGGCTTAATAGCGGCCGACTTTGTCTATGACTTTTGAAGGTTGGCAATTGGACTCCGAATAAACAATCGCAATGCTTATCATAGGTTAAAATAAGAAGGAAAGAGAGAACCCAAATAGACTCGAGATTCATTTTATGTTGTTGTATTCGTGTGGGTGAATCTTACTGCATCTTCTCGTTATTGCCAAAGTATTTTGAATCCGATTCATCGTGCCAACAATTCGTTTGCATAAGTAATAGGTTAAAACGTGTGGAGTCGGTAGTCATGTTGGTTTTATGCTAGTCGTGGTCGTGTAGTGCCAGATTCAAGTTTGACTCGACGAACCCATGTGCCGTTCAAATCGTCCTCTCATGTCATATCAAGATCTACGGACGGCTCTACTAATTTTTTTTTCGTGTCATTGGTTCGCGCGTAATTATATACCATTCGAGTTAATGGCAGTTTCGATGAGGCCCATATTATTGAATCGCCCAAGCCCAATTCATAGTCCCTAGCTCCATATTGGGCCCAACAACCCAAATCCGGACCCAAAAGCACGAACAGGCCCATCAAATTCCGGGCTTCACACTCTCATTCAGAGAGAGATGGGGCAATTGGGCATGGGCCGGCCCAAGCACGGATCATGGGCCGGGACGGGCCCGGCACAAAAAAGCATTCGGGCCTAGCATTCGGGGCCATAGCCGCCGTCCGGCCCAATTTACTCGCCGTCCGGCCCACTTTCGATCTTCAAAGCTTTCTCTCTCGACGAGCAAAAGAGCAGGTATAAAAACCATTCGCTCTCGTGCTCGCTAGGGTTTTGACGCGAACCAAACCTAGTCTCTCTCGCAGCCGCTCGGTTTTCGCAGAGCCGCCGCACGCCGCCGCCGCCCCCTTACGAAGCAGCGAAGATGAAGACGATCCTGTCGTCGGAGACCATGGACATCCCCGACGGCGTCACCATCAAGGTGAACGCGAAGGTGATCGAGGTGGAGGGCCCCCGCGGCAAGCTCACCCGCAACTTCAAGCACCTCAACCTCGACTTCCAGCTCATCAAGGACGAGGAGACCGGCAAGAGGAAGCTCAAGATCGAGGCCTGGTTCGGCACCCGGAAGACGTCTGCCTCCATCCGGACGGCCCTCAGCCACGTCGAGAACCTCATCACCGGCGTCACCAGGGGCTACAGGTACAAGATGCGCTTCGTGTACGCTCACTTCCCCATCAACGCCAGCATCCAGAACTCGAACAAGTCCATCGAGATTCGCAACTTCTTGGGCGAGAAGAAGGTGAGAAATCCTGTTTTTTTTTTAATAATTCATTTGAAAGCGAGAGTTAGTCTCATGGTGAAGATTGGGCGATTGGCTGATATTATGTGATCGTCGCTTTCGCTGCCTTTGCGACATTTTGCCAATCGATCTTATGCTGTTGTTATTGTCCAAATGTCTTTTATTTTGCGAGTTTTGTTATTTTGATGGAGGGAATGCATGACAAAGGAGCAGTTGGCTGTGTTGTTCTCTAGTTGGCTTTCGTAAGTGCATTAGCTCTCGTTGAGAGCTTGTTGGTTGGAGTGTGATATGCATTGATGGGTTTGAAATCAGTGTGAATGGTTGGTTGATTGTGAAATTTTAGTGAATCCGATCGGCACTGGATAGTCTTGTATTGATTTTCGATGGTCTATGGATCGAAGTATCTATTCTTGTGAAGGGTGTGGAGATCTGTATCCGTTGTGAGACTCTTGTATAGTTCAAAAGTTGGATCAGTGTGGTGTTTGTTCGAATGTGTCAATAGAAATGCTCGAAATCTAAATTCTTTTCTCTGCATGTGAACAGCCTCAGGTAGTTAGGAGACTTAGAGATAGCTTGTGGCTGTTCTGTTCGTCCTCTTGATCATTGTTTATGCAGCAAGTATATGTAGTTTATATTGCTTTCGATTGATTGAGATCAGAAGGTTGCCTTTGTGCCTATTAGCTTCTGCTGTTTCTGGACTGATGTGATGAATGAGTTTGTAACAAATCGGTATAGCACTGTGCTATATGTTTACTGAATGGAGACTGCTGATACTTTAGCTTTCCGATTTGGACTTGTGTTCTGATATCAAGTTTCCCCGGATCGAATCACTTGATGATTTTGCCCTCCCCATTGTTTTTTACTTTTACTAATGTAGTGGGTCTAGATGAAACTGAAAATAATCCTTTTCCTTATCCGTTTTACTCAGGTGAGGAAGGTCGATATGCTTGAAGGAGTATCTGTGGTCCGTTCCGAGAAGGTGAAGGATGAACTGGTCGTGGATGGGAATGACATTGAGCTTGTTTCCCGATCTTGCGCCCTCATAAACCAGGTATGCCCTACACTCTTCATTTTCCTTACATACTGACCGACGCACGTGATGGGGCTCTTGCTGAGATTGTATTTCTGTGTGTCTTGCAACAGAAATGCCATGTGAAGAACAAGGACATTAGGAAGTTCCTCGATGGTATTTATGTCAGCGAGAAGGGAACCATCCTCGAGGAAGAATGATGAATGAAGTATTAGCAGCGTTCGGTGTCGAGTTTTACACCTTTATGTCTTTTTATCCATTTGATATGCTACTTAAGGATGATTTAGCAGACTCTGATGATCCTGTTGAGGATGAGATTTGCAATTTTGTGCTATGGGAGTTTCTATGCCTACACTTTGGTGTTTCTTCGGTTCTTTCTCTTGTTTTCAACTATGTTGCGGTTCCTTATGTTATGGCTTACATCATGTCGCAAAACCTGTTTTGGAGGTGCTGGGAGCAGCCAGGATCTCCATGCCTATGTTTTCTTGAACACGAAATGCGGAAGCAAATGTATGTCCTGAATTTGCGCGACTGAGTATGTTGGGCAGAGCGGGAACTTCAATAAAACTAGCATCGGTTTATTGCGAATTTAGGTTATTTGATTTGGGAAAATTTTATGACAAAGGAAGATGCTTTTCATGGAAATTATTCTTATTTTCAGCTCCGTTCGTTTGGCGGAAAATATTCTCCCGGACAATATTTTCCGGATTTTCCGGTGTTCGGGGGGCGGAAAACGTTTTCCGTGGGAAAATATTTTCCTTCCCCCCTCACAAAATAGCCTAAGTTTACGGAAAATGACTTCCGCTTTTTCAAAAGCGGAAATCATTTTCCGGAGTTTCTTCTTCTTCTTCTTCACTAAGGTCGTCGGCCGCCGCCAGCCGCCGCGGTCGCCACGGTGCCGCCGCCGCCATGCTGGGCTGCCGGTCGCTGGGCCGGCCGTGGTCCGATCGCCGGCTGCCATGCCGCTGCTGGGCTGGCTGCGCCGCCGGCCAGCCGTCGCCGCTGCTAATCGCTACCCGCTACGGCCGCCGGACGTTGGCCGTCGGTCGCCGGCCGCCGCCGCCGGAAGCCGGACGTTGGCCATCGGTCGCCGGCCGCCGATCGCCGGCGAAAAATATTTTCCGAAACTTTTTCATATTGTCGCCGAACACCGGAAAATTATGTTCCGGGAAAATATTTTCCAGGAAAATGACTTCCGGGAAAATATTTTCCAAAAGGAGAATATTTTCCGCCAAACGAACGGAGCCTTCGAGTAAGAAGATTTTCCCTGTTTTTAGATTAATGAATTTGTTTTCCGTAATTTAAAGATGGATATTTTCTTTGATGGTAGATGGGTTTTTTAATTGGCTAATTGTTTTCAACAAATCAAATGTGGGAAAGATCGGCAAAGTGTGAGAGTACGAAAAACTAATTCGTAGAGAATTATTTCGCTCAGACACACAAAGCCTTTAGACGGACAATCAATAGGTAGATTTGCTTATATAATTAAAGATCAAAATTAGGACATTCTTTGAAATCTGGAGATCCGTTTAATCTTCTCAATAAGATCGACTTGGGTAAAATTGTGTAAGGGGCAAGTAAATCATAATTTTATCATTGCCCAAGAGCTCTCTTCTAAGTCGAGGATTTAGCTTAAACGACATAAGATCAACCGAAACATTACTACTACACAGTTCCTCGCTCAATTCTTTTGATATTCTTTCTTTCGTTCTAGAATCTCTTCCGTCCGGTTACGTTTCGCGCGTGAACTGAACACTTTTCATTTTGAATCATTCTCGGATTCAATCACGATCTAATAATAAAAAGACTCGGCAATCGAACTTTTTTTTCGAAACTATATTCCATATTCTGAATCGTTGGACGAGAAATCATACATCCCAGTCGACCCAACTTTTTCCCACAAATGCTTACATTGTGTGGCATGAACTATGAAGAAGAGATTCATTACGCTCTCTCAACTGCCCCATCTTTGACCCAAAAGAAACAAAAGAAAAACTGCCCCTTCTTTTGCATTTTTGCTTGGAGAGGAAGAAGGAAGAAGAAAGGTGGTTTTACTGTAAAGCCCCCTTCACATGAAACCAGTGGACCAACCTCTCCTTCTCCTTCTCCTTCCCCTCCTTCAAATTCCGACAGTCATCGCCAATTCAGCACCCGCCAGAGCGAAGAGAAGAGCGAAATGAATCGCATGCTCCGAAGCTCTGGCTCCCTCGGGCACGCCCTGAGATCTCTCCAGCTCCTCCGCGAGCCCTCCTCCGCCGCCGCCGCCGCCCCCTCAGCTCGCGCTCTCTCCACCGCTCCCTCGTTCCTCAGGCCCCCCTCCGCCGCCGCCGCCCTCTCCGCCTATCGCCTCCCGCCGCGCCACCGCCCGCTGCCCCCTCTCCTACCCCCGTCCCCGCCGTTCGTCGCCACCTCCGTCCGGCACCTCCGCGTCGGCCGCGACCCCAGCACCGGGTAATTGCGCTCAGTTCCCTCGATAACTTTTAGGTCAGTGTAGCCGTTTTCGGGTAATGCGATGCTGCTAGTGCCGTGGAAACCGCGCGCCCGTAGCCATTTCGAATGCTCTGGATTCGGTGGATTTCGGAAGCTTACTTACTATCGCGAAAAAAGTTGCGCCTTTGGCGTTTGGATTAGCGGCTGGGACGCGACGTGCATTCGAATGTTGGAATCGTTTGGTTTCCGATGGTGTCTTCTTTCTAGTGTTGTGAAAATTTGAACTTGGGGTTTTGCAGATACGAGATAACGCCCCCGGTGAATTGGGGGGTAAGGATCGTGCCGCAACAGCGGGCTTTTGTGATCGAGCGGTTCGGCAAGTATGTGAAAACCCTAACTTCGGGAATCCATTTCTTGATTCCACTCGTTGATCGAATAGCTTACGTGCATTCGCTCAAGGAAGAGGCGATCCCTATCCCGGACCAGTCTGCCATCACTAAAGACAATGTCAGCATTTTGATCGACGGAGTGCTCTACGTTAAGGTATAATAGTCATGGATTTTCAGCTGCGTTTTGTGTCTTCTCACGGGATGCTTCATTTTGTGGTATATCTAGATATGAAGGTGCTGAATAGGATGGGGTTTTTGCAGATTGTGGATCCATACAATGCATCTTATGGCGTTGAGAATCCTATATATGCAGTTATTCAGCTAGCTCAGACGACGATGCGTAGTGAGCTTGGGAAAATAACGCTTGACAAGACATTCGAGGAGCGGGACACGCTTAATGAAAAGATAGTGGTGAGTTCTGCTTCTGTGGACTCTACCGGTGCCTAGTCCTTCTAAGCTAAGTTGTAGACAGTATAAGTCACCCCAGTTTTCTTAGTTCTGGCTGAGTTTAAGCCTTTTCTAAACAGCTCCATCTGTCTACGTGTTTTCCGTCGTTGGAGTCCCGTCTGCATCTGTCTGTTCTTCTCTATGTTTATGTCCCATCTCTGCTATGGTTGTTAGTATGTTTTTCTTCTCATTGATTGGATAATGCCCATGGAGTACTAGAGACGAATAGTCATGACAGATCTAATCCAAAATTTGAAATTACATTATTATATACTTTAGATGGTAAAGCCACGAGAACAAGAATGAAAGCTGTTTCTTTATGAGGTGACTACATTTTTACAGGAGTCCATTAACGTGGCTGCTCTAGACTGGGGTTTGAAATGTCTTCGTTATGAAATACGTAAGTTGCAGCCTGTCCAAAGTTGTTATTGCGGTCATTCAACTCTTCAGAGAATCTTTTAAATATGCTTCTCTGTGCTTTCTTTTTTAGGGGACATATCTCCTCCTCGTGGTGTGAGGCAAGCTATGGAGATGCAAGCAGAAGCTGAGCGTAAGAAAAGAGCTCAAATCCTGGAGTCTGAAGGTGATGTAGTCATGTATTCTAAGTGTTTATATTTAGTAGACGTGTGATGATGAGCTATAATAGTTGTTTTGTTTCATCGTTACCGAGTCTGTGGTCACTCTAGTCAATGTGCATACTTGCTCGGTAATTACTAGCATCATTACTTCATTGCCAACTGCTATTATTTACCATGATACTTCCGCATGGGGTCAGCTCTATATTCTGACCATCCTGTTTTTGGTATCTGCTTTCCCCTTGTCGCATGAAAAATCTGAGCAGATCCTCATATCAGTTAACTGATACTTTTAATGTTTAACAGGAGAAAGACAATCGAACATCAATATTGCGGATGGTAAAAAGAGTGCTGTAATCCTAGAGTCAGAAGCTGCAAAGATGGATCAAGTTAATAGAGCACATGGTCCGTTGAACTTTGTTCATAATCTTGTATTTTCTACACTGCTAGAATTTTTCGATAATCTGCGGTTTGTTGGATGCAATGCTTCATTTGAAAGCTGCTTCAAGTAGAGAAACTTATATTCTTTTCAGAGGAGAAAGTAACTTGTAGGAACTGATGAAATTGTCAGTTAAGGGCCTTTTTTATCTTGTTGTAAACTTTGGCTTTCTAGTTGCGGAATTGACGAATCCTTTGCATGAAATTGTAATAGGCAGAGGACATAATATCAGTAGTGTCATTTTTATAAGCGCTTATGTAGCCAATTGGTAGGAAATACCTTGCATTATGCCTATATTCAGCGTTATATGTAGGGTGTAGTTTTATACTCAATTGCATAGGTGGGTTCTCTCTATTACATTCTTCTCCTTTTCATATCAACAGGAGAAGCAGAAGCCATCCTTGCTAGGGCACAAGCAACAGCAAAAGGAATTGTTCTGGTATCCGATGCTCTTAAGGAGACTGGAGGTGTTGAAGTAAGCTTTTCTCTTGAACTACAGGTTTTCGAGTGTTGTTGATGCAGAAATTTCATCAATGAGCAATGATACTACAAGTAATGATCACTTTCACACACTTAAGTGGCAAGTGTTTTCTCCATTCTCTGAGGATTTTAAACGTGGAAGGTTCTTCTTACAAACCATGGTAGTCTTGTGCTCTATCTATGCCATTTACTTTCAACTTTCAAGAGGAAAACATTAGTGCAGCAGGCAGATGGTCTTGAAAAGTCATGATGGGTTCAACTGTTAGCAATCAAGTCAAGTGAACTTTAAAGAAATGACTAGATATATAGGGTAGCATCGGTGAGGAAAGATTTGCAAAAAGCCTAAAAGGTGGGACGAACATAGCTGTAGAAGAAAATGATTGGAAAGTTATTTTTAAAGAAAATGAAGTGTGTAACTTGCATGATCTGATGGAATGGATCATGTTGTCAGAGGTTTCTCCACTAAAAATGGCCCTTTCTATGGATCTTCGCAGGCATTGTCATTATCGATTCTCTGAAATAATGGAACGTATGTTCTTTACTTTTTTATTGAGAGGATGAAGCTTATCAAATTACAGCTTGACTTCCCTCATTTGGTGTACACCTCTACTTTG